ACGCGAAGGGAACGTAGCGGCGTCCGTGGCCGGGGTGCACCGCGAAGTGGGAGAACTCACAGTCGATCGTCCGCATGGCTTCTCCTTTCTTTGCAACATGATTCACAGGAGGAGAAAGGCAGGGGAGGAAAAAAAGAAACATGCATGCTGCGCTTGCCCTTCGTTAAGCAATAGATTCACAGACACACACACACACACACACACATCCACAGGTACATGGACAATACCATGAAATTCCTCGCATGTTATAGAAAACTTTTACTTCATTCCACATTCCATCTCCCACTCCACCGCGTGTTTATGGTAGCCGCGCACTTGCGCAGAGCATGACACGGGCGGCCGTTCCTCAGACTACCGTCAGAGCCATCAGTGGAGCCGGCGCGGCAAGTGCCGAAAGAGCGACGTATAGTATGCCGATTTAAAACAGAGTGGCGGCAGTTCCTCCTTTGGGGTTGCGCGGATGCACGTGCGATGGTTACCGTTGTTGCAGCCCCGATGCAGCCTTACATATTCTACACAGGCGGTGCGCGCCTCTATCCAAGCACGACACACCGCGTTGTTTACTTCGTCGAGGTGTTCAACAATACAGTCCGCCCGCTTCTCCACACATTCAGTCTGCAACTCACCCCGACAGGCCTGCGCGATGGAACGCGGCTCCGCTTGGAAGGCTGCCACACCCACTGCCGCCAGCAAACAAGTGAGAAAGCATAAAAGACCAGAAGACGAAAGGATGCCGCGCATTTCCAATTGGTATACTTTTCTGGTAAAACCCTTATACTACATTGTTTTATGTGAAGAATCAAACAAAAAAAAACGGAAGGGAGGAGGATCCCATAGGCAATGAGCAGAACAGCAACACGCCATCACTCGAACATTGGTGCGCCCACAGAAAACACACACACAAAGCACTATATATATATATATATATATATCATTCTTAGTGTACACTCACATGCGATGATCGCAGCCGTCGTCGCCCTCGCGCAAATCCCCAAATCAGCAACCCCGCCACAATAACTGGCACAATAAACAACAACCAGTTCATAACGCTCCTACCGTCACTAGGGCTTTCGTTACTACCAACAGCACTACCTGATCGTCCAAACACGAAATCCTCCATTGCATTTGTCCTAGGAACAGGCACAACCTGTCCCAACAAATTGGGCAAAGAATCAAACACATAGGAAAGAAACACCACGCATAAAGGCTCGGCGAAGTAGCTACGCATATTAACGTCCGACAGAACACCGAAACCCTCGTCATGGACCAGATCGCGCAACCACTTCACTGAAGAAAGGACGGAGACATTCGCGACGGCTAAACATCTTCCCCCGCTTAGAAACACATTGTACGCTGCCTTCCCTCGAAGGGCATTCACCAGGTCCAGCAACTCCTCCAGAAATGGAGAGGGATACACTGTTAAAAGAATATGTGTAGGACGTGAAGACGACGAGAGCACACCATTAAGATAGGTGATACTTGCCAGCGCTTCGGAAGGAGAAACATCGATATGAACTACATCAAATAGTATACTTGACAGCTTCATGTTGGAAAAGGTCACCCTGTTGAATGATAGCACCGGCACAAGCGACAGTTCGGCATTGTCACCTTCATTTGCTACATAGCGACAGCTATTGTTAGCTATAGTACACCTCGCCCTCACCTCGTTTTCCAAGATGCTTTTGGAAACGATGCCATGAAGCGGCATGGCAGACTCCACGACCGTCGAGCGGTCTAGATCGGCAGTACGTACACGGAGACCTCGAAGGTCATTTCCAACTACGTTTCCCACGACAGCGTCACCGTAGAGCAACGCGTGGACACTGATCGAGGGTTCATGGTCTTCTTGCGACTCTGCACAGAGGTGTGTGAGATACGGTCCGATGCAGGAAGCAGCCGAGCAGAGGTGAAGAATCTGTGTGCTGCCCCGCCGAGCCGACTGGCCTGCACCAAGCAAGTGCTTCAGAATTACACTCTCGCTACGAAATCCTTCTACATGTTTGCTTCGTTCAGCAGAAGGCGGTCGGACATCCTTTGTGAAGAAACGCATCATCTTGTAAGAGGCGTCAGCAACTCCAAACGGCAGCGCCACAACCACACTGGTAGCATTAAGGAATCCAGGAAGTGACGCAAGACGAATACCAGAAGCTGTAGCGAAGCGAGGCAAGTGCCTCACAGGGTCTCGGAACGATAACAAAAGCTCTTGATCAATGTAGTTGCGCATGACAACGAAGGAGACGGCAATTGTGATGGTGGCAACCACAAGATTCACCATCACCACTTGCCTGTCATCACCAAGCAACATCTCTTGGTGAAATTCTACGCACGCACCCGGCTGAGAGAACAGCACAAAACCCAAACCAACCAAAACGAGCTGAGAGAGAGAGAGAGAGAGGAAAAGAAAAAAAAAAAAAA